TCTCAACAATTCTCACTCATATAATCCCTCCTCTTTCTCCATGATTGGATTCCTGGAGCTCCACCTGGGGCCTGGCCATGGATCTCTGCATCTGCTTCCATCAGTCATTGGATGAGATTTCTAGCACGACAGTTAGGGTGTTTGGCCATCCTATCACCAGAGTAGGTCAGTTCAGGTTTTCTCTTGACCATTGCCAGTAGTCTATTGTGGAGGTATCTTTGTGGATTTCTGGGGACTTCTCTAGCACTTCTTCCTATTCCCATAGGGTCTTCATTTATCATGGTCTCTTTTTCCTTGTTCTCCCTCTCTGTTCTTGATCCAGCTGGGATCTCCCGCTCCCCTAAGCTCTCTTTCCCTTGACCCTTGCCCTTCATTACCCCCCCTCACGTCCAGTTTGCTCATGTAGATCTCATCCATTTCTCTGTCATTGGGCGATCCCTGTGTCTTTCTTAGGGTTCTGTTTTCTAAGTAGCTTCCCTACCTAGGGAGTTATGAGTAGCAGTCTATTCATTCTTTGTTTTACATCTAGTATCCTCCTATAAGTGAGTACATACCATGTTGGTCTTTCTGAGTCTGGGTTACCTCACTCAGGATGATTTTTTCTGGATCCATCCATTTGCCTGCAAACCTCATGATGTCGTTGTTTTTCTCTGCTGAGTAGTATTCCATTGTGTATATGTACCACATTTTATTTATCCATTCTTCAGTTGAAGGGCATCTAGGTTGTTTTTATGTTCTGGCTATTACAAACAATGCTGCTATGAACATAGCTGAGCATGTGCCCTTGTGGTATGATTGCGCATTCCTTGGGTATATGCCCAAGAGTGGTATAGCTGGGTCTTGGGGGAGATTGATTCCCAATTTTCTAAGAAAGTGCCATATTGATTTCCAAAGAAGCTGTACAAGCTTGCATTCCCACCAGCAGTGGAGGAGAGTTCCCCTTGCTCCACATCCTCTCCAGCATAAGCTGTCTTCAGTGTTTTTGATCTTAGCCATTCTGACGGGTGTAAGGTGGTATCTCAGAGACGTTTTGATTTGCATTTCCCTGATGATTGGGGATGTTGAGCAATTCCTTAAATGTCTTTCAGCCATTTGAATTTCCTCTGCTGAGAATTCTCTGTTTAGCTCTATAGCCCATTTCTTAATTGGACTGTTGGGCATTCTAATTTCTTGAGTTCTTTATATAATCTGGATATCAGCCATCTGTCAGATGTGGGGTTGGTGAAGATCTTTTCCCATTCTATAGGCTGTCACTTTGTCTTGTTGATTGTGTCCTTTGCTCTACAAAAGCTTCTCAGTTTCAAGAGGTCCTATTGATTGATTGTTTCTCTCAGTGTCTGTGCTACTGGTGTTATATTTAGGAAGTGATCTCCTATGCCAATGTGTTCAAGACTACTTCCTACTTTCTCTTCTATCAGGTTCAGAGTAACTGGGTTTATGTTGAGGTCTTTGATCCACTTGGATTTAAGTTTTGTGCACGGTGACAGATATGGATCTATTTGCAGCCTTCTACATGTTGACATCCAGTTCTGCCAGCACCATTTGTTGAATATGCTTTCTTTTTTCCATTGTACAGTTTTGGCTTCTTTGTCAAAAATTATATGTTCATAGCTGTGCGGATTAATGTCAGGGTCTTCAATTCAAGAATCTGTCTTTATTTTTAAAAGAGAAAGAATAAAATTTGCCTCCAAGTCAGCTTAAAGAACAATGCCCAACTCTCTAGATGATCTCCATTATGATCAATATCTTGCAATCACCTCCTTCTATTAGCTCACGTGCCATGGTGTTTATGTATTAGAATACAGGGTGGCTATACAGGTTCTGGTGGCTTCTCCCAACTGTTCCAAAGGCCTTTGCATTAAAATAGCTTTGTGATAAAAATCCAGTGCCTGGATTTGAAATCTATCTATGTTTCTGCCATTCATTAGTGGGAAGAACTTAAGCAAATCTCCTAAATCCTTTGTTTCTCAATGTTCTCATTTGAAATGAGAGGGATAGATAGCAGTAGGGCAAACAGCAAGTGGCCATTATCAGTATTAATACAGGTATAGCACTTAGAATACTACATGGATAAAGTACCTACCATACAAGCATAGACATTATTATTGCTATTATTATTATCTCTTATGAAAATAAATATATACCTAACCATTTCATACAATCAGAGGCTCTGGTTTGTTCATATACTTCAGTATTGGGTAAATGTCATATTGAACATTTTTTAATCACTTTAAATTTAGTTACATTATATGATTCTTAGACTAACAATTTAGCTTGAAATCTTTATTTGTATTTTATATGTATGGGTGTTTTGCTTATATGTGTATCTGTGCACCACATGCTTGCGGTATTCTCAGAGGCTAGAAGAGGGTATCAGATCCTCTGGAACTGAAGTTACAGATTGTTATAAGCCACCATATTGGTGCTAGAAACCCAGTTCTAAGTTCTCATACCTGCTTTGGCATGTCCCCAGGCCTAACAATTTAGCTATAAAAGGATTTCAAATAAGACCTCTCAGCACAATCTCTCCTCTAATGCCTTAGCAAAAAGCCTGGCAGTAAATGTGTTGAATTGCTGTGTGAATAGGTTTTCAAAATGTTAAATAATTAAGACAGAGACAGGTAGCTATTGTGCTAAATGGAGGTATACTGAATGTTCTATGTTGACAGAAGAGATTGTTTGACCCCTTTCCCCATGCTTCAACAACCCCTGTTTGGGTAGAAACAAATCCATAACATTTTCCTAAAAGCAAGACCACTCAGCTGAGTCCTGGCAAGTACACAGAAGCTGGTCGCACTGATGAAGGATAGCAATCTTAAAAGGCCCAGGAAGTTTCTTTAGGTACTATCTCTGGTCAAACTATTAAAAAGGAGGCATTAAACCCAAGGAGATGCCTCATCAGGTACAGCACTTACTGAGCAATCCTGAGGACCAGAGTTCTGATCCCTATCACCCGTATAAATGTCTTGTGAGCATGGTATGGGCCTCTGCTCTCTGAGTGTGGAATGCAAAGATGGGAATCCCTAGAACAGGCTGGCTAGTTAGACTAGTCTAATCATCCTGCTTCAGGCTCAAGTGGGAGACTGCCTCAATATATAAAGAGGATCGTGATCTAGGAAGACACCCAATGCCATCCTGTATCTCACATGCATATGCATACACATTTGTACACACACACACACACACACACACACACACACACACACACACACAAACACACACACACATACACACACACACACACATACACACTGTCTGCTCATATACACATGAACATGCGTGCATACACACTTTCTGGTCTTCATCCTATAATATACTCATAGAATTTCACTTTATTGTCTCTTCCTCTTATTGACCTTAAATTTTCTAATAGGTAGAGATTCTTAGTAAGTCTTGCTATAAATGTGTGTCATTAAGCTCTTTGAAAAATCTAGAAAAGGTATAATTGCTATCTGCTACAGAGCGGCTAGAGGCTGATGTTACGAGCAGCTCCTTTTAAGGGTTCACCCATCTAAACCTCACAGGAAAAAGCGTTCTCTCATGGCCTGAGTCGTTCATCTTGGTAAGTAGCAGAGTGAGGGTGCAAGTTTGAGCCTACCAAGTACAAGTTCTTGATGACTGCTGAGCAAATTCTGGATTAATTTCACACTAAAAAGCCTGTCTACTTTTCCATAGTATTTTGGCCACTATTCAGAGGAATACCACCGGTAACGGTCTTGCTCTGCGAAGGTTTTCTTTTTAGGGGCTTCTGTAATGTCTACCATAGAATCTTTGGAGTGGTAAGTTTGCTTTCCCCTCTTCAGAGAAGAATCCTTCACAAGATTTCCTGCTGTCAGCATTTTTTTCTCACCTAAAATTACTTTCCCGTCGGTATCTCATTTGCTTTTCCTCTAGCGTATACAGGAAACTACTTGAATAATAGATATTACTTTCTATATACTTTCCAGAACATTGTATGATTAAATCATTGATATGTATTTCTGTTATAGAATCAGACCTTCAAAATAAAGGGAACTTCATTTGTGAATACCTACAATTTTAGACAATATCAAAATGCGTTTAGTGAATCTAAAAACGACATTCTGAAATCCAGTAGTCATCAAATCACACCGTTCAAATGGAAAAGTAAAGAACTGAAGTTCTCTTTTTTATTGAGGCAGGCTCATTTCCAGGCTACTTTCAATAAGCAGTGACTTCTGTGAAAGCCATCTGGTGATATGGCCATCCATGGTTTGATGTTACTTGAGATGGTCACGTCGGTTTCTGCTGTGACCACAGCCACTGGACTCGTCATCTTTCTGAAGATGATCCTTTTTAGGCTTTTCCTCACGTCTTCATCTTTACGTAAAACCCCGTCATTGACAACAAGCCACACTGTCAGTCACCACTGGGTTTCCACTGACATTTTCCACTCATTTCTGAATTCTTCCAAGTCAGAGGATGTAACTGGCCCCATCAGGAACAAAATAAAGGCCATAGAAACAGCAGTGACATCCAAGCTGGGTGCTAAATTTAGCTGTTCAATACTTTCTACTCAAGTTAAAAACCATGAACTGTAATTATGGAATGTTAGAACAGAATGGGAGCTTAAAGGTCATCTAATCTAACTTCCCCTTTTTTTTCCATTGAAAGTGTAGAGGCCTAGACATATGCTGTGATTTGCTCGGGGCCACAGAGCTTATTAAGAGTGGAACTTGAACTAAGATCTGCTCAGCCCTAGGGCAGTAATAACCTAACCAGATCTTGATGCACAGATAGAGCTGATATTATTGGTTGTGGCTTATAGTTGATAGCCGCTCATTGATGTGGTGGTTGAGTGTGAAACAGCAAAGGTGTCCGACTTGTAAGTTGCTACAAAGAAATGACATGATTCTACAGCCAGGCCCTGCCCCCAGCTCTGAAAACTTCCTGCTTTATGTTCATCAATAATGAATGACCCATCCCTGTAATGCTCAGAGGGAGCTTATGCTGCACTTTCGAGCAGCCGGTTAGTAATGTACAGTGGATAGAGCCTTTCTTTTAAATCCCAGGGCAGCAGGTCCTTCAAGGTTAGCATTGCAATTTCAATTAGCCGCTGAGTGAAAGCTTGGCATGTGTATTAGTGAGCAGGGACACAATTAGCTTATTCTTCCATTCCCAATTGTGTTGAGAGGATCCAAAGGATTGGTGGGGGATCCGGCAAGCCAGGCATCACTGGATAGTGCAGAAGGGAGTTCCTCAAACCTCGATATCTTCACTTGTTCAGGCCGGAGTTACAGAGATTTATTACAAAACACTGTGTGTGGCTTGGTGAAGGGTGCCTCAGGAGCACTCCGGATACCACTTGGGGTTTGCCTTTTTGAGTGCTCCACCGCTCTGTCTTATTCTCGTCATCACCATGGAGCCCAACAGCCCCAAAAAGATACAATTTGCTGTGCCTTTATTCCAGAGTCAGATTGCTCCAGAGGCAGCAGAGCAGGTAAGGGGGAGTGGATGGGGAATAATGCCTGGATATCGGGCAGTAAGGGCATGCGTCCTTGCTAGGTGAAAGGTTAGAGAACCTTTCTGCATTTGCTCAATTGTGTGACTTTCTGGATGAAAAGTGAGTCTGCTTTTGCAGACCCACTTGTGTTTGGGTTGCATTGGGGAGCAACTGGCCAAGATTTTAGCAGCACTACATTCTATATAAAACTAACAGCAATGTATCAGACGTTCTGGTCTGAAGCACTATGTGCTGGCTTTTGATTCTTAAAGTAACAGTTTTAACGTTTAGAGAAACTTTGAAAACATTACCAAAAATTAGCAATCTTCTATTTTGTTACTTATAAAATAAAAAAAGTAAATATTAAAGTAGCAAATCCCAGACTAATTTAGTATTACAGGCTTCATATTTTTATGTGTTTTCATTGTGTATCGCCGAACAATAGCTCTGTATTATATATGAGCAATGAATATGAAAAATACTATATTACTTTTTCCTAGGTTCCTTTTCTATGTGTGATATTGGTTTCTAAATGTATAATGTTCATATTTACTTAGACTCTGGGTGCAATGGACCCACATAAAAGATGTTCTGTGGCATAAAAACAAATATGGAGTATTTGGGAATAGCAAAGAAAGTTACAGGAACTCCAATCGAATTCATTAATTACTTAAAACCCAGATTACCCCTGAATCCTCTTCCAAATAGTTGATACAAAGTCTTAAAATAAGTATTGTCTCTGGGAGTTTTGCTTTATATGATGATGCTTTGACAGTAGACCCACCCAGATTTGGACCAGATAAATATAACTTTGACCAGATCTGTTTACTGAACTGAGTATTGCTTCCATTTTGAACAACATCATTTATACATTTTATCCTTTATCCTATTGACAAGTATTCTGGGAATTTAGCTATGAACTGATGCATTGAATGAATAAAGGCTACCTGAAGCAAGAGATTCTAGTCATAATATGCTTCTGTAATTCCCATAACAAGGGGATGAATCCACCAAATCTTAGTTTCAATTAAGCATACATTCATTTTTATTCTTCTACCTTTTTGAGTAACTTTTACTTATTTATATACAATTTTACACACACATATATAATGTATCTTAATCATATTTTCCCCAACTCTCCCTCCCATTTCATTGACACCCACTAACATGCCCTCTTGCTTTCATGGTCTCTCCCTTTTGTTCTTTCTAACCCACTGAGTCCAATTAGTACTGCCTAGAGGAATTAAAATTCACATTCTTGTAAGATTTGTATTTTTGGTTGACCTGCCAGTTTGGTCTAAATATTAAATTAGAAAGTATAAAATCAATCATGTTAATTGAAATTTAAAACATACATTGCCAATTTAATTACAGCACATAGTAGAAATGTGAGGCTTCTGGGTTCCTTTTGTCTCATTTAGATGAGAGCAAGGGACCATGATATCATTGCCAATGTCATGGGGCTTTTCCAGTCACTTAAATAGTAAGTCATCCCTGTACTTTACTGTGTATTAATCTTAGTTGCATATTTTAATGGTATACAACTTTAATTTTTTTTCCTTTGGAAATGTAACTTTGTGGTAAAAAATAGTGTTAGTAATATCTGGCAGTTCTAGCTAGCTTCCTGTGCTCTAACATATATAGTGAGCATACACTATGTTCCTTCTAGAAGTTTGTTCATATATGTTGGGGAAAGAGGAGGGTGGACAGCTTTTCGAGCCGTAGAATCAATGAAGGGCAGTGTCTGATTCTCACACTGACATCAGCTGTGCCTTTGCTGTTCACAGATCAGGAAAAGAAGACCCACGCCAGCATCCCTTGTGATTCTCAATGAGCATAACCCCCCAGGTAAAGAACCATGATGTCTTTCCTATTGGTGAGGAGGAACAGGACTGTCTAAGGAGGACCAAAGAGCATGGCATTGGTGACAAATTCCAGCTAAGGGTTTCCAGTTAGCTAAAAGGGATCATAAACAAAATCAGAAATAAATATCACAAGGACTGTCTCAATCTTCTGGAACGATACCCCCGGTACTGACATGGCATGACATGTTTTATCAGCATTGGTTGCTGTGTGTGTACGGAACCTGGGCCAGGCTTTATTGATGAAGTTGGTAAAAAGTTGCTTAATGAGATTTCAAGGTTCAAGTTGCAGACCTGGAGCTGATTATGTTTTTGCAGAGTGTGATTTTAGTTATGGTACGGGAAGGGAACATGCCAGCACTGGCTGCAGCCTTGCTGCTGATGTCATCTCTGAACAATGCAATTGACAAGGAACCAGATCAATTTTCAGCACTGCCCATTTGAGAGCCATTCCGAATGCTGGCATCCATTTGTTGAGGTTTGAGTTTCCATTTCCTGTAAAAAGTAAAACTGCATTATTAGTCTTGATAAGGAGCTATGATCTGTAATACACAAACAGTAAGTTTACTTATTGGATGGAGTGATTTTCATCTTACATTTAATGGCAGCCCCTGGAAATACAAGCAGACCAGGAAAGGCCATTAATTTGTAACCCAGCAGATCACAGTGGGTTTTGTTGTTGTTGTTATTGCTGTTGTTGTTTGTTCGTTTGATTGACTGTGGCTTTAAATAAAGGAGGCTGAAAAAAGTTTGAATAATGGAAAGATATTAAGTCTATTTATAAGTCCTGAATGATTTGTTCTAGGGATGTCACAATAAAATAGTCCTTGACTTTTCTGGAATCTTCCTACTTAAAGAAACACACAAAAAGAAAAAAAAAAATCTCATAGAATATTTATTATTGTGCCTAGATACAGGAAAATTAGCAGCTCACTGAAACAAGTAAGTTGTGTCTATTGAGAACAAACATTATACTTTGTTTTTTGTTTGTTTGTTTGATTTGTTTTGTTTTGTTGTTTTTTGGTTTTTCGAGACAGGGTTTCTCTGTGTAGTTTTGGTGCCTGTCCTGGATCTCACGCTGTAGACCAGGCTGGCCTCGAACTCACTGGCTCTGCCTCCCGTGTGCTGGGATTAAAGGTGTGCACCACGGCTGCCCGGCCTATGATTCTTAATCAATGAAGAGCATAGTGTCTTAAAATCATCTTCAAACATATCACCTTAGTTAGTAAGTATTAACTTATATGTACTTGAATAAGAGGTACAAATGACACATATGTGCATGCTTATAGCTTACAAATAAATATGTTTGTAAATTCAATGACTAAGTCTTTTCACTGTGTAAGTGATTTTATAGCAGTTTTCAATCCATACCTTGCTCATAATAGCAAACATTTCCATAGTACTCTGGGATTAGCTTCCTGATAGAATAATGTTCATCCTGACCCATAGGTATCCTTCAAACTACTAGAGATTAACTCTCAGAGTTTTTAACTGTTATTATGATCTAAACATAGTAAAGCTGGTCTTTGTAGCTCTCATGTAAAACTCCACACAGTAATTGATATGTCTTGAATGCTAAATATGGGCCATTTCACACAATAGGAGAGTGCGAGAGAGGTGAAGTGGTTTTTGTGACATTATTCCACTAGAGATGGTGGATTCCAAAGACAAACCTGACACTAACCTTGAGCATTGGTTTTTCCATTGCACAGAATAGACTCTTTCAGTTCCTACAAGCAGGCAAACATGGCGTTTAGGTAAATTTGTCTGGACTACTTACTTTAGCAGATGAGGAACTATATTTGATATCCCAGGAAAAGATTTTATTTTGACTTAGAAAGCTTGTTCTTAGGAGATGTTCCAACCAGTAATTCCCTATTTCCCTTGTTGACCTTGCCCCTCTTTGTGGTTGTGAGTACCATTAGAGAGAAATAAGATGTGAGCAGCATCTTGCACAGAGCTGGGTCATCTTGGAGACATTATCTACCTGTGTCTTCATCCTTCTATTTATGGAAAGACTGGCTATGTATAGTACTGGCATCAGTGTGTATGTGAACCATGTTTAGAATGAGTGCTAGATTCTGCAGCAAAAGCCTTAGATCTAAGACTTTTCCTAGTAAAAAATGATATAACCCAGTATCTGTATTTACTGAGGAAAGCACTTGAAGTCAGATTCCACAGACAAATGATGAAATACAACTAAACTTGGCTACTGGTCTTTATTAGTCCTACAATGCTGGGTAAGGGACCACTCCAAGCTTTATTTTATCATGTATTGAACAAATATGATAATGCCCATTTTTTCCACTTCATGTACTCTTTAAATGACCAAATGATTTAACATGAATATACATTAAAAACTGCAAAACAAATATTAAGGATCACTGTTGACTGATGTAGTCTAGAACTCATAATTTGCATGCCATACTTAAGATTCATTACAACAAGCACACACACATGCTCACATCTGCCCTGAGAATTTCTATCTTATGCAACAATTCTTTTTTTCTACTTAATTGCCCATTTCCTGAGCAATTTTTTCTTTTTTTAATTAAGAATTTTTTATTCATTCACATACCAATCAAAGATCCCTCTCTTCCCTCTTCCCACCCCTCCAGCCCCCACTCCCAACCCACCCTCTATTCTTCCCTACAAGAAGATAAGACCTCCCATGGGGAGGTACATTTAGTAGAGACACATCTAAGCACCTCCCCCTGCCTCAAGGCTATGTGAGGTCTTTGAGTAAACTGCGATAGGGGTGGGCAATGGAGGGTAGGGGATGTGAACATAAGGGAACGGGATGGTCGAGCTAGAGCAGGGATGGAGTAGGAGAGCAATGGGAGAGATACCATGGTGGAGGGAGACATCATGAGGCTAGGGAGAGGCTGGGTGCTAGGAAGGTTCCCAGGAATCTCCAAGGATGACCCCAGCTTAGACTACTGTCAATAGTGGAGAGGGTGCCTGAACTGGCTTACCCCAGTGATCAGATTGGTGGATACAACTTATCACAGAGCTTTTCTCCAGTGACTGATGGAGGCAGATGCAGAGATCCACAGCCAAACACCAGGCCAAGCTCTAGGAGTCCAGTCGAGGGGAGAGAAGAGGGATTCTATGAGTAAGGACATCAAGATCATGATGGGGAAACCTACAGAGACAACCAAACCAGACTATGAAGTTTAGATCAACAGCTGTGGAGCCTGCATGGGACAGGACTGGACCTTCTGCATAGCAAGACAGTTCTGTAGCTTGGTCTGCTTAAAGGCCCACCGGGAAGTGGGATCAGAGTCCTTCCCTGGTGCATGAGCAGGCTTTTTGGAGCCCACTACTTATGCAACAATTCTTAGTTACAAACATCTGGCTATTTGTAAAACATTTCCTAAGAGCTTCTACTTTTGCAAAGCAGCAGCGTCTTCTGGCCCTCAAAAGCAGTGGTCTTTAGCAAACAAAGAATGGTGCGGCTTTAAACACTGAGGACTGGGAGATGGGGGTGGAGGTGAGGGGGGCAGGGGACTAACGCTAACGATTCTCAATTTATTGAAACAGTCCATGAAATAATTGGAGATTCTTAGAATTATATACCATTAATACTGCTTAAGATTCAAATCCCTGAAAATGTTTCTTTATGGTAAATAGAACAAAGAAAGTTAAATTCTTCATTATAGATAGATAATTAATGAGTCATTTTATCTGGGTGTGATAATCCTAGCTCTTCGGAGGCTGACAAAGGATTCCTCGAGTTCCAGCTGTCCTGAACTATATAAGATGTATCTGACCAACTTGGGTTCCAGTATTTACAATATGAAAAGCTGTCTTTAAGACTAGAACAAATGTGATGTTAGTGAATTGCAACAATGATTAAAAAGAAGGCATAGTTTTCTGTTGCTATTATTATTTACCATTTAGGTATTAGCACAAATAGCAAATGATGAAAGTATTTAAAAAGAATAGATTAATTTTAGATTTAAGTATTCATATCATTCTTCATTTTGATATAATCAGAATGGAACAGTAGAACAGAAAGTTATTTTAACATGTCAGTCCAGTGGTTTCATTTGTTCACTACTTTGCATGTGATGTTCTAACCACACAGAGAAGACAGACACCCAATTGGTCAGTTGTCATGGCAACCAACTATACCTTCAGTTCTTCCCTAACAAATAAGCTAGACTTGCCCCCAGTAGAAGTTCTATGAAATAGGCATACAACTATTAAGGCTATATTACCCTTTGATCAGCAAATAATTTAACCCAAAATTACAGGAGTAAGAAAGGCTAATAGCAAATGTTGTGTCTTTATTGTAGAAAAGGAGGAATCAAAATACTTGCATTCAGAAATAACTCTGAACAGTCAGGTGGCAGTAACAAGATATCAGAAGCATAAGACCTGGGTTTAGGGAATCATCATGGACAAATGTCACCTTTTCCCTGTCTTCTGAGACCAGTAATTTGAGTAACGTTTGAAGGAACTGCTTTTCTTTCTGTATTTCAGTTCTTCTACTTGAGCTTATCAGTTTCTTTGAAGCTGTGTCTTGGAGTGTCATTATCTGTTCTTATAGTAAACACAGTTAGCTTTTATTCTTCTGTGATCTGTGGTCAACTGGTGGAATCCTTATAGCTTTATCTGGACTCAAACAGACATCATCTTAATACAACAATAAATGGCAGCTGCCTTTTGAAATGTATTCCATCTCGTATATGGATTTTCTTGAACATTGCTTGTCTTTAAAAAGACATAGGACTGTATGTTTGGCTACAGGGATGTTATGGTTTGGATGTTAAATGTCTCCTAAAGGCACAACATACTCAAATTTTGATCATTAGCCTGTGGCACTGCTGAGATATGATGGAATTTTTTGGAAGGGGAACCCTCTGAAAGGAAACAGGGAATGCCCAGCTGTCAGGAGACAAGCCCTTATATGATGTCTTACCTACCAGAGGCCCAAAAGAACATGGCTGGATAATCACTTTAAAGCCGTGGAAGAAAATG